GGTATATACAGAATAGATGTATAAATGAATTATTAAATTATCATTATTTCTCATAGTAAAAATAGCAATTTAAACATTATTTAGTCAAGATATGAAGTGAAAAGAATTAATTTTGGCCTTGTTGTTTTATTCATGATGAAAATCAGTCATTTAACCAAAGAACTGAGAAAAAATAATTTAAAAAATGATGGCAAAATAGCAACAATCAAAACTGATTATGGATGGGAATTTAAGTAAAACATTTGAACTAGCCATCAAGCATATCAAGATAAGGTTCTTTATCTTTTAGACTTGTCTTCTCTTTGCATTGCAGACCTTAGCAATGTGTTGGGTCATCACTGCTTTTAGGTTTATGAACATTATTCTAAATTGGGAAAATGAAGCTATTTTATGTGACATAATAAATAGATTGTACCTTTTATTCTATTATCTAAATTTCAAATGGTATAAAAATCATAGTAATAATAGAGTCTTTCTGTGGTGCAAATGGTTAGGCTCTGGATTACTAACCCCAAGCATCTGGAAGGTAAAGCCTTGCTGTCTGCTTCCAAAAGGTGAAGGCCTTGAAATTCCTATAGAGTACATTTCTACTCTGCACGCTTGGGATCACCATGAGTTGGAATCAATTTGATGGCAACTAACAATGTAAAAATAATGAGTATACCACCTTCAAATAATGCCTGTTTTATTTTCTCAACACATATTTCTGTTAACAAGAACTGTGTACAATTGTTACTATATGCTGTAAGTAGCAAGATATTAAAACTTTACAAGAAAAATTTATCAGGAAAACCCAGTTAAAATAATCATACTTTTCTAATTACAAGAACTTCCAATGGACTGAAACTTGTATCCCTGGTATTTAAAAAAATACTCTAACATAATGCTAAAAGGGCAAGGAGGCCACATCTTCTGACCTCCTCTAACCCCACAAAAGGAAGACAAAATCACCATCAGCAGCCCAAGGCCTATTGCTGCGAGGCCAGACATGCTGCCTCCCTCCAGCCCATTCACCAACCTTGACACCAATCTTTCCTCCCGCAGCACCCACCACCTCCACGCTGGGTTCGATAATTCGCTGCAGTGGCCACACAGAACTCACAGATTGTGGGTTTTTTGAGGGAAGCAGCAGGCTATAATTCAAGTTCAGGAAAAATGCTTAGTCTCTCTCCCAGCCCACTATCTCTCAGACAACAGTCTCTCACAGTCTCTCTCCCAGCAGTGCATGTCTCTTGGTGTCTCTTTCAGCAATGCATGTCTCTTGTCTCTCTTTCTCACAGAGCGTGTCTCTCAGGAGCACGTTTCCTCTCAGTAGCACATCCTTCCTCAGCTAGCAGTCAGGGAGAGATTTCTACCTCTAGGAGGCCTCCTTTTGAGCCTGCAGAGTGACCAAACTAGCCAATCATAACATCAGAATTCTAAGCACCTGAGAGAGAGTGGAACTTCCCAAAACATTGCTTTGTGCTGCTCCCAACAGAAATAGCCCAGGTAGATGATTATAACAAGAAGGAGCTCCTCATTTGCTCCTGGCAAATTCCACCTGGGAGTTTACAAAGACTTAATGGCTAGAAAAGCCATACCAGGTAATTTACTACACTGCACATACTTATGTTAGTATATGGCTCTAATGGAATGCTCAGTAAACACCTGTATTTGATTTTTAGAATCCAGGTGACAAAACAGCCCAGTGATGAAGCTATTTGTATGTATTTTTATTTTAAAAAGAAACCAGGCTCTGAATGAAAATATCCTAAGATATAGCTGAGCCAAGTAATGGTTTTAAAACCATAGCACAGATTCAGATTGATTTTCTGTAGATATTATGGAAGTAGCTTCTCTAGGAGTTGTTCAGCACAGGAGTTGAGGCTTTTAGTATTTTACATAAGGAATCAAATCAGTTTCTTTCTTATGACTGTTATATATATAGAAGCCACAGTTCACTTCAGAGCAGCTTAGATATGAAATTATGAGGGATATTAGTATTGGGTGATCATACACACAGAAAGCAAATAACCCGTAATGCATACTAATATTTTATAGGCAACATGTTACTGAAGTTAAATAATTGAATTTATCTTTACTCTTTTAGATAAAGAAGAAATCTAATGGTTTATAGATTGCAAAACAGTCATAGATATTAAGCAACATTTTTAATGTCTCTAAGGAAATTGGAAGCTGAAGGAAGGGATGAAACTTAGAGATGTGATAGTATTTTCTAACAATGAGTGAGTTTTGTCTCTAAATAATTTAAGCTAAGCAACTGGAAAGTGTGAAACAGTATGAGGAGTGACTTTGATATGGTCTTTGTAGCTAGTCTTGTAACTCACATGAAAAGATTGGGTGGGACTATGCAAATAAGGAATTTAAAGCCCACAAACACAAAGTGGGGATGGGACAGCTTGCTGCTAATCCAGATAAATTGTGTGGCACCCTTGTAGGAATGGGACCATGCAGATAAGATGTTGTATGTTGTGTGGTTGTGTTTGTTATGTGCCATCAAGTCGGACCTGATTCATAGCGACCCCTTCTTGGGTTTCCAAGGCAGTATCACTAAGGAAGTAGATTGCCCAACCTTCCTATTGAGGAATGGCTGGTGGGTTTGAACCGCCAGCCTTCTGGTTAGCAGTCAAGTGCCTTAGGCACTACACTACCAGAGCTTCCATATAAGGTGTAAGCCTTATAAGATGTAAGCCTTAATGAAGGATCGGCCAGTTTTGCCAACCTGTTGTCTTTAAATGAGTCATCTGGGAGATGGAAAGGGGGATCTCACTACCACTGAGAAGGAAGAGCCAGGAGCACAGTGTGTCCTTTGGACCCAGGGTCCCTCCACTGAGAACCTCCTAGACCCAGGAGACAGATAACTAACACTGGCGGCAACAAAAGACAATGAGAAGCTGCAGCAGAGCAGAGGCCGCAGAACCCGGACACCGGCAGGAGACAGTGCGGTGACTTCCCGATCCCAGAGTGGGAAAGCTGAGTGCCTTCAGCCAGGAGGCTTGCTGGAGCAGTAGGGTACTTCTGGACACTTATTGGTGGAGATAAAGAGCTTTGTAACACTTGTTAGAGCAGGGCAGAGGCCAGGCCAGCCCAAGAGGCCCAAGGGGCCCAGGTCAAGGGGTCAAGGAGTCAAGTGCCAGAGAGAACTCTGCCTGCAGACACAGCTGAGGATAGGCTGCCCTGATTGAAGAACTGTATCCAGAGTTGGTTCTGATCCTGAATTGTAACCTGTTACTTTCCTAATAAACCCCATTAACTGTGAATATGGTCTATGAGTTCTGTGTGGCCATTGCAATGAATTCCAGACCCATCAGAGGAGCAGAGAGTGCTGTAGGAAAAATGGTTCATATCAGAATTGGTAAAAGGTAGAGAGTGGAGGCATATCTGAAATCACAACATAGTAATCAGCCTTGGGCTGTTGATCTTGATTCTCCTTCCCCTTTGTGACATTAGAGGAGGTTAGTCACCCCCGCTATGCCATGTTTA